CTTCCAGCGGTACCAAAACCATTCTGTTCCATAACTTGGTACTGAGTACACCCCCCAGTGCATAAAAATACCAAACTTAGCCTCATCATACCAAGAGGGGAGAGGTCGTGAGTCCAGTGATTCCCACGTTGGTTTATATTGACTCAACACCAGGGGAATAAGGGCAAGGGTAAAGATAAATTGTACACTATTCATTTCCATTTGACAAAGTCCTGGACTGAATTGTTATCTTCTAGTACTTCTGAAAAAAATAAAGAAAACAAAAACAGTGGTTAAATGTTACAAAAAATTATTTCCAGGCAAAACCCCCTGAAGGACCATGCAAACTTCTATACAGTTGCACCTCCTGTAAGGAACCACCCAAAATGTCAAGCCTTGGTGGTCGCTTACAGGAGGTGGTCGCTTGCAAGAGCTTAGGCTATATTGGGTCAAAATGTTGCCTCATTAGCATATGAAAACTGGTCGGAGTGACTTACTCCGTGTTTTAAATGTTTTATTCATGTGAGAAGTCAATTTCGAGAAAAAACCCTGTACTTCTCATTGAGAAATTTCTGTCTCTTGTGCTACTCAGGAATGTGATATGGTTACAACACCTGGAGACTTAAGGTGGTCGCAACTGGAGGTTTGACTGTATTTCCATTCCACTTTGAGGTATAGAGAAAATGATTACAATCTCCAAAAATCTGTTAGGTTGTAAATGCAGCTGAACATAGTCTGGCATAGGTGAGATTTTTAAAGTCACAGCAGTTCTCCTAATCATATAGTCAAAGAGTACCCCCCGCCCGTCTCAAACCACCTCTCCCAGGTGATATTTATCTGAGGGTGGCAATGGGTACGGTTTGCATACCACAAATGATGAGGGCAAAAGTCTGTGAAGTATGAGAAGCCACTGAAAGACATAGGTATGGGAATTAACGGAAAAAATCATTGCTAGGAGCATTTAAAAGAATATGAAACCCGTGAATTCAGTTAAATTTGTGCGTGAAACGGGATCACACCCTCCCCTCCCCCATCCCTTGCTACCCAATTATGTAACTCGCACGAAACTTTCGCTTATGATGTTTTTCACTGGTTTTGTTCTATTTATTCGGTTGAGTGCGTTGGCTTTATATTAATTTATTCTCAGTTAGCAAATATGAGTAAAATCGATGGACTAGACTCAAACAACTTTTCCGTACAACAGTCGATCATGTGATTATCACAAGCGGAAGCTGAGTAAGTCAGAGCAACAACAAGCTAGTTAGAACAGTAAACTGCAGGCACTTCTGACAGACGAAAATCTGTTCAGTTAAGAAACATCGTATTGCCTCTGACGTAACAACAAAAATAACTTCAATAAAAGGAAACTACAGCGTAATAAAAATTCAGCTCACCTCGAGCCAAAGAGCTTGAACGTCCGTTTTTCGCGGATCAGCTGCAAAACTTCTCCGTGATTCTTGCGGATCACAACGAAAAAATCACACAAAAGATAAGATATTAACTTTAAAAATAAGATCTTAAAAGCGAGCTCTTTCAAGTGGACTAACCCTACTCCGCTAGCTGTTTTACAAGCGCGCTGCCGGAAGACTCTCTCGAATTTGCCCCGTAAGCCACCGGTCTCTCTCAGTCAGCGGGAATTTGTTCAAAAGGAGGTAATTCATATATGGTACTCATAATGTACTTTAAGGTGACAGACGATAACTGCAGAAATTCTCGCGCACTCGTTGGATTATTTTCATTGTCAAACAATTCGTAACCTGTACAGACTCGCAAATGATCCCCGGAACGCAAATAATCCCAGGACCGGAAATGATTCCCAGTGAAATGATCCCGGACCGGAAATGGTCGCCATGCAATAAAAGAGGGAAATGTATCGACCCAGGAATTTGGACAGTGGATTAAAAATTTATATAATTGATTTTTTTTTAATAACTGTGAAACTCAGAAATGCGTAAACACTTTGATTCTGAAAGGTTAATTGTGTACTAAACCAATCACAATAAAGTTCAGGACACGCGAGAAAACCTCAAAACCACAACTAATTACCACTGCTGTTAGCGGTTTAGTTTTCTCATGGTGAACTGGCTCGTTTCCCGAACGAAAATTTTATACAGTCAACACATATCAATTTGGTATTTTGCACAAGTTGTTTAACGTTTTTTATTGCTGCTTTTATGACTGAGGTACTTATCTTTTCTTCACCTAGGACAGGAGCCCATCCTGCCTAGGATGAATAAAAATATATCTATCCCATCCATAGACTTTTCATGGAGTCCACGCCATTCCTAACTTTTCATGGAGTTCACGCCATTCCTAACTTTTTCCGGTGGAAACAATTCCGGTCCTGGGATCATTTGCGGTACAATTTGGGGAGCATTTGCGGTTCGGGGATCATTTGCGGGCCTGTACAGATCACCGAGAACTCCCGTTAAGATTTCCTAATCTTAACTTTTAGGTGTCCCCAATTAGTAGAGGGTTTCACCCTCGGCTATTTTGCCTAGACACGTTAATTAAGTTGTTGTTGTTGTTGTTGTTGTTGTTGTTATTCTTGTTATCACATGATGGCATTTATTTGTTATATCCAGGTAGATTTTGAGTTTTTGCTTCTTCACTGGTATTAATTTTGTTATATACGGCTTCTGTTCCGTACACAGCCTGTCCACAGACCCTCCATTCTGTCTTGAGTTCGTCGAGATAAGCGAAATATTAATCCTATCCGGCAAGTGGGAAACACGCGCTAAAACGCAAGGGTGTGGGTCAAAATAGATCAAAATAGATTTTGCGCTAGCGATCGCGCGCTCGAAGAAAAATAACTCGTACCCAAAAAAAAAAACGTTTGTGGACTGACTATTCCGTACATTTTTACTTTCACTTTGGCCGGGCTGAAGAATGTTTGTTTGTTAAGCCGCACCTTCGTCAAAACTGATGGTTTACATTTATAACACAAACATAAGCTCAAGCAACCTACGTGTAAACCGACGCGATGCAAGCATAAGTATGTGCACTGTGCTTTCCGTTAGAGAGAGGCGAGAAGAAGCAGGGGATCGCTTGATCGTCCCCGTTTAAAGGGACAGTGTTACGAGCTACGTATGTGCAAGATTGCATTTTCTCTACGAGCTAAAAATTCCTTTTTACAGGGCACAGTTAACCTAGCCTTTGCCGAATTCAAGCTTGAAAAATTTCGCCTGAAATTTTCACGCTTCAAACGCAATGTCGCACATGCGCAATTCGTGACACTGTCCCCTTTAAAAGTGTATAACACAATCTCCGTTGTACATGTACACCAGCCTTACTTTATCAAAAAAGTGTATTGTTTACGACGCGGCGCAAGTCTAATTGTTTTTCCGAAAGCTACAACCTAAGGGGAAATCTAGCTCCCTTTGTCTAACGCAAAGAGTGCTTCAACACTATTCGTTACTGAAAACCTTTATTATTCTTGACATCTAGAATTGGTCTTAGTTACAAAAAAAGAAAAACATTACAAAAGGCTACAGTTTAGTTATAAATTCCAAGATACAAATACTGTTAACTAAAACAAATAAAAAATTGTCGTGACCAGTAGTGAATAACTAGGAGACGTCAGTCTTAAATAGAAGGGGTTTTGTAATCAAGTCCAGACTACTGTCTACTTAAATTCGAAATGACTTCCTTACAAAAAAAAACTCTTCTTTCGATAAAAATATTGCTGGACAGTGAAAGAAATGTTCTCTGGTATTTTTGCTGTTAGTCAAGAGCGCTTGCCACATACTGCTGCAAAACTTGTCAAATCACATCAACGCAATTCATGAAATAAACAAAATTACGAGGTAGGATTTTTTTTTGCACCGACAGTTATTTTAAACACTGAGCCAGCTTGCTCAACTATGCTAATTCTGACTGCTGACTGTTTTAAAATCGCCATTATTAATATTCAGCCCAGACTCTAATTCTCTTTATAGTAATTGTGCAATCTACTACTTGTCTATAGGATCATACCAACTACACTCTTTTTTTATAAGAATACATTTTATAAGAATATTAAGGCTGATATTTCCGAAATTGTAATAATATTCCAAGAATAAACCCATAGCTGAGATTTTGATGAGAATGTAATTTTGTGTTGAAAATTTGTAAATACAATTGTATGTTTTTAACTAAACCGTATAAATTCTCCTTTTCTCTAAGCAGCAAAACTAGCCAAAGAACAACAAAACCAGCACTAGCCGTATATAAGATGCTAATGATATTCCTGCAAGAACTTAGGTGTACAATATCGGCTTTGTTGCCTGCAGTCTGGCTCCAACATTACCTTAACGTCATCTGAGTCATGATACGATAGATGACAAGGAACTGTCACAGGCTGTAATCTAAGAATATTCACACTGTAAAACAACATTCTTATGAAAAAGAAAGAGTGTAACAAACAAACTTACCATTAAACCAAGACTATCAAAATTACAAGCCTTACTTATAAAGGCTCCTATATAACAACTTTCAGTTAAAACATCTCATGCACAAACAATACTTAAATCTTGTTAAACTATCCAGTTTTTGTGCATGTTTATAAGGTTTAATGCTACAAATCAAACGTATTGCTCTTTTAACATTTAAGCCCTTAGTCAGGTTAAATCTAATGTTTGGGCAATTACCGGTGCCAATTGAAAATACTTGTTTTAGGCTCTCCAATAGGCCCTTTGCAACTGGGGTCACGTGACCAAATTTTTCCTAGAAATTTTTATATTATGGGCTATAACTTAAAGAATGCCAGAAATGGAAAGACCGCATCGAAAATACCAAAATGGCCAAGTTTGAGGCCCCTGGAATGAAAGAGTAAGTTTATACGACTTTGAGTTTTCGGAAAATTTATAGGATTTGTATGGAAAATGTTGCTGGAGAGGAAGGTCTTGCTCTCCAACAACTTTTCCACACAAATCTTCTTATTCTTTTAAAAATTCAGACCGTCATAAAATCTCATTCTTTAATGATGGGGGTCTCAAACTTGGCCATTTTGATATTTTCGACATGCTTTTTCCATTTCTGGCATTCGTTAAGTTATAGCCCATAATTTTATGAAAAATAGGTCACATGATGGCTTACCTGCAAAGGGCCTATTTGTTGTAAATTCCTGATAGGTATTTGTGCCCGCTTTGATTTTGTATTTGCCAAGAGCTCTATAATAAACTTTTAAGAAAACTCACGAGACACATTCTAACCAATCAGAGCTATCATGTAGTTTTTTCAACCAATCATGAGCAAACTTTAAGACAACCATACCTTTGCTTGCACACATTTACCTGTGCTCGGCAAGCATGGGTTTTACCGCTTTCTTCAAGTACTCAATGGTTCACTGCAGTGTTAACTGTGATTGGTCAGATATGAACACCTTGATTTCTAAAGTTAAGACTTTACAACTTGCAGGGAGCAATCTAAGATTCCAAGAGGGATAAGAGCTCACATCTAGAAGGGATGGGGATGCTCATTGTTTCTGTTAATGCCTTCAAGATGTAAATTACAGAATTTGTCCGTCAGGACAAAACGCTGATAAATGTATATCAACCCAGTATAGTGGCACACTGTCATACTGAGATGGTGGTTTAGATCAATCTTGAATGAAATGTTTTTCTATTACATCATAGATGAAAGCGTTTGATGTCATTTGATCACCATCACTCTTATTAGTCAGGCTGTTTAGGATAGCTACCTAGAGGCTAAAGCTTAAACTACACCCACATTTTCCTCCTTAAAACGAATATTTTTGAAATTTTTCGACAAGCATTCCCATTCCTTTAACATGGAAGTCCCCAGGCTACAATCTAATAGCAGTTGATGTAATTTCACTCAATGTTCTCCAGCTTCAAAACCCAGGCCCATTTGGAAGGAAGCTTGTTTACAGGGATGGCAGGAAAAGTGACAATTATGCCACCTTTGTCACCTGCTGGTTTCCAGGCAAACTTTCCTTGATAACCCAACATGGTGACTATAGTGTGTTTGGTTGCCACTGGAGCTCCAAGAATGAGGTTAGTTGTAGCTGGCCACTCAAGGACGATGGCATACACAGCATCAGCTTTGGATGTGTACCTAGAAATAAAAGAGAAGTAGAGTTATGGTCATTGGCTTTTACATAACATAGAAAAAATGTTATACAGATTTTGAGGGACAAAGATTGAATAAGTGGAAAAACTGCAGAGAACAACAAACTTATCATTAAAAGACAAACATGAATAAACATCAGCATTCAGCATAGACCTTAGTCCCATAAACCATTGCAAAATAAAACACAATTCAAAGGCTGAAACTCGTCCCTTTTAGATGAGGAAACATTTTACCCCATTCAACCTACCAGACATCTTTGTTAATGGTGTCATTCTGAACTCTCCAAGGTTTAGTGCTGTAAATGGCTTCACCATTCACAGACAGCCACTCTCCCATCTGCAGCAGACGCTCCTCAAATGCAGGTATGATGCGGCCATCTGCCGTCGGGCCAACATTCAACAACATGTTACCACCACAGCTGACCAAAAGAAAGCAACATTTAAAAAAACTCTAATATTGAGCAGTGTTACAAATCCCAGATGGAGAGCTAATTGGTTATTCACATTGCATTGTGGCCTCTTGTAAATCCAGGAATCTGATTGGTTCTCTGACTGTAGATTATCTGCTGATAGACCATGATGGCTTTCAAATGTCCATCCAAAGGGAAAACTTTTCTACTTCTGGCTAAATATACCTGAAATTTCACAGACACAACAAATACCCATCCACGTTTTCTATGGAACATCTTGTCAATTCTCATTCTCATCTGGAACAGACTTGATAAGTAAGAAATCTAGCGACAATCCTCACCTTACGGTAGAAGCCAGTTGATAGATCAGTTGACTGATGTTCAAATATAAGTGAATGCCCACATTACGTCTGTAGCCCCAGGAACCCGTATCCACTGTCAATGCATTCTCCCATTTGTGATTCTGAAGTTTGCCTTTGGTAAAACAACAGTTGTAGTAAATAAGGTCTCTCTTGTGTTACAATAATATAACTAGTTATGTACAACAAAAGTTGGATTACAGTAATAAAGCAACAAAATAACTTATAACTTGGCAAAGTCCACAGCCCCAAATTAAAGGTGCAATTCCCACAATCAAAACACTGACAGCATTTGGCTACAATGTGATTTTGTGATTGTCATTGCTACCTCTACTCAATTTAAATATTGGCCAAATTTATAACAAACATGGTGATAAATGTTTTTAAAAAATTTGTCTTTCCCTCAAGGTGAAAGCATAGATGGAATGAACACAGAAAAAAATTGAACCATTATTTTTCAGGTTGATTCATTGGCAACAGCTTTATTAGCCTCAAGTTTAACTAGGAACTCTCATTTGTGTGTGTTTCAAGGAACTCCCATCTGAAAAGGTCGAGGATATGTTCATTTTCTCATAGGGCTGTAAATGAAGGAATTTGGTCTCACTTAGGAAGTTCACAACAAAATGCCACTGACAGTGAATATTCTTACTAGCCATCAAAGAATTTCTCAGGGTGCACTCGAAGACAAAATTCAAAAATGCCCCATCTCCTTTAATTTAGTGGTTTAATTCAAATTTTTCAGATGGTAGTCCTTTTCATATGGGAGTCACCCCCTGGGCAAAACGTTACCTTTAGTGGGACCATGCGTGTCAAAAACTCACATAACTATGACTCACCTGGGTTGTAACGATCATGGCAAGTGAACACTCCACCATGATGGCAAAGACATCCATTGGTACACCAACGATCGTTTGTCACAATAGTGTCTTTAACAGGGCTTAACAGAAGACAGAAAAACATCAGTGAGATAGGAATCAGAACATCATTGTTATTCATTGAAAAAATACCATGCATGCAGATACCAAGTACATAATTATAGTACCCTCTAGCATATCATGAAATACCAACTTGAAGTCTGTACATACTGTATAAAAGTTATGATGAACCGTCACCAAGTCTTGCATATACCTTTCATTATAAAGCCATGCAAGAAATTCCTGACTTTGCCAGTATGTGTCAGGTCCATATGAACCATCTGACCACAAGTAGTCAGGCTTATATGTGTTGATCAGATCATGCAGCTCTGGCATGAGAATTTCCTGACATGAAATACAAACAAAGTACAAACTAAGTTATGATGACCTATCACCAAGTGTCATATTTACCTTTCATTATTAATAAAGCCATGTAAGAAATTCCCTGCTTTGCCAGTATGTGTCAGGTCCCCTAGAACCATCTGACCACAGGTAATCAGGCTTACATAGGTTGATCAGGTCATACATCTTAGCTTAGTCGATAAAAATCGTGAGATATCTCACCAACTGAAAAAATCTGAATAAAAATAATACTTACCTCTTAATAACTGAGCAGAAGGTCTGTATGGGAGAATCTTGACCAAGACTGTAAGTACAGACCAAACTCAGTGAGCTCTGCACACATGACCGAGGTCAAGATTCTCCCATACAGACCAACTAAGCTCGATTAATAAGATTTTTATTATATTGCAAACAAGAAAAATTTAATTTGTTTAATGAAACTGGTTTGTACTAGCTGCAATTGCAATTGTTTCATCTGTGTTACAGTAAAAAACCCCATAAAAGAACACATGTTTTGGGGGTTCAGGCTGATTTTGTTCTTATATATTGGTTTTTTCTGCAAAATCAGCCTGAAAATGTCTTAAGGTGTTCTTAAAATTTTTCCAAATATTAAATACTGCATAGACTACCAACAGATGAAATCCATGTGCAAGCACAACATTTTAATTAATTAATGGATAGTACATATATTGATCTAACTAGCAGTAAATGTTTTTATATAAGAACAATTTTCATCTTTCAGGCTGAATGTGTTCTTATGTATATGGTATTTTTTTTGACCAAATTTCAGCCTGAGTGTTCTTAATCCACTGTCTTGTTCTTTTATGCAGGTTTTTACTGTATTAGACCAGGCTGATCTCCCCATTTAAATGGAATTAGGTTAACATAATTTCAATGTCTACACTTCTCATGACTTTTGGCATACCTTGACGTAATCCTGTGTCTCAAAGTTATTGGCATGATCCTTCAAGTAGAGTGGATGGAACCATTCAAAGAGGGAATGATACAATCCAAAAGTGATGTTGGTTTTACTTCTAATGGCAGTCGCTAGCTCCCCTGAAAATTAAAGAACAGACTGGTTACAGCACAAAACTTCACATTTGGGTGGAGTGTTAGACAAGCAAGAATGATAATGCCAGTCAACTAATGCTTTCTTAAGGTGGCTAATAACAGTTTCCTTTATTTTCTTGTAATTACACTTTAATGGGTAATTACTACCATTAACCACTTTATTCATTTACCAGTTTATTCTTCAGGGTTGGGTCCCAACATATTGTTATAAAGAAAAACTCTAAGCGGAGGGGGGGGGGGAATTTGCCATGCCCAGTACTAGCATCCAATTGAGAGGTTAGGTCGCAGTTACTCTCAGTCACTTCATGCATCAGAAACCGGAGTTAAGCACTAACTAGTGATCATAAGTCAATTCTGGCTCCTTGAAATCTTGGATTGGTGCCAATTTCACCTTTTATGCCATAACATAATCAGATGCATGGTATTGAGAGAGCACATGGCAAGCATGATTTTTGTACATGTATCTGCAGTATACTGCCAATAATCCAAACCATCGAGTTTATTAGGAGTGTGAAATCAATCAAGGGTTATTATAGCCAGAAAAAGCAGTTCCAACTTTATAGATTACAAGAATACATAAATATTTCAGCGTAATTAACATATACATAACTGTCCTTACCCACAAGATCCCTGTGAGGTCCATTGTCAACAGAGTTCCAGTTCCATGATACATTTGATCTCCAGTTTGTCCATCCTTCATGATGTTTACTGGTCAGGACATAATATCTAAAAGATAATTCAAATGTCTCAATAAAATTCAAGTTAAACAGTGAAATTGTGACAAATGTCTGTTTATGAGATTAGCTCTGGGCTGATCATGACACAATGCTACAAAATGTTAAGTTTTTTGAGTCAATTATTAACCTCTAAATATAACATTGGTCGGAATTAAGACCAATACATTGAAGTGTCAATGCTGGAAGTAGAGTACCCCAGCTGGGAAATAGGCCCTTTGACCTACCAGATACTCTGGAGCCACACAAGCCTCGTCACAAAGACATTTCTATGTACACAACTATTATTTGGTAGAACATAAAGCTTGAGACAGCTATGGGCTCATAGTCTTCTCTAAAGGAGCAAGCATGGGGTCTATCTCACAACATGAAAATATAAAGAAAGATAAAGGCCAACTACTGACAAGTAGGCTACCAGCATATATAAGGGACAAAAAAAAAACAATTCAGAGCTCACTTACTAATAAAAGTTGACTACTGTCGTACCCTGACAGAGCAAAAACTTGTAAATATCCTTTTTAACAACTTAGTAAAGAGATGATTGGCCAAACTCACCTTGCACCAGACTTTGTCAAAAGGTCAGCCCATGCCTCAGGGTCAAAGAACTCCGCCCTGAACATTGGAGCAAAGTCTTCATACCCAAAGTTTGGAGGATAGTTTTCCTTCATGAATTCCACAAAGTTTGGTCTCTGATCATGCTTCCAGCGGTACCAAAACCATTCTGTCTCAAAACTTGGTACTGAGTACAATCCCCAATGCATAAAAATACCAAACTTAGCCTCATCATACCAAGAGGGGAGGGGACGTGAGTCCAGTGATTCCCATGTTGGTTTATACTGACTCAACACCAGGGGAATAAGGGCAACGGTAAAGATGAATAGTACACTATTCATTTCCAGTTGACAAAGTCCTGGACCTAAGTGTTATCTTCTAGTAATTCTGAAAAAAAAGAAAGAAAACAAAAAAAGAAATTACATGCTACAAATAATTATTTCCAGATAAAGCCTCCTTAATTAATAATGAACATGAATACTAATATTCCATTCCACTTCCAGGTATGGAGAAGACGATTCTAATATCCAAAAATTTGTTCTAATTCATGTACGACATATCTGGACAAAATTTGGATGCAATACAGGATTCGCTTGAAGCATGAATTATCAAGTGTTAATCTAATCTGCCATGCAACTGTAGATGGCTGAGCTTTACTGATCTACATATGCCCCCGAACTAACATATACACCCTGTATGGCTCCTAGTAGGCTCGATTTCCGCCGCTTTCTCAAGTCCGGTCTACGTTCCTCCCCGAGAAGAGACGGCTGGACGCGTGAGTGGCAAAGCATGTCTGTGACGTAACTTCATAATGTTTTCTTGCGGTGCTTCAGGTGGCCGGAAATGTCATCTGATGACAATCATAGGCAGGCCCACATGACGCCTACGGCTCGTAAAATTTGTGGCATTTTCGCCACTTCCTTTCACTTTGGCCCTCCAACCTATTTTGTTTCACATTTTTGCTGCGGAAGGGCATTACATGATGTGTTCTATAGAAGAGTAGTTGTTGTTTTTTTTTTTTAAAGTATTGCAGAGCTGTTTGATTACGCTGTAGCAACTGTCATGTTAAAGGTCACATATATTGGTGTGCATGGTGTTGACACCAGGTTTGTGTTTTGCTAGTTCGGTTTACTTTGGCTCATTTAAAAATTTAATTTTGTCTGGCGTCTTCGCCAGAGACTGGTGTTTCTTCTCTTCAAGAAGACTAAGGTACYCWTCAATTTGACTGAGTTTTTTGTTTCTTGAAATCGATGTTTGCGTTTATCCCTCCCTTTGTTTACTTTGTTCGTTATCTCATATTCTGGCACCACATGATTCAAATACAGATGCTAACGTATAAGTCTGTTGACTATTTTGCGTGTTGCATATGCCACTATATGGTTTAGATCAGGCAAGATTTCATCAGTTGACGGTATTTGGTTAAATATCCCACTAATGCAATCGCACTTCATATCGCACAACTCCTTTGCTACTACGAGAAAGCTAATTTATGCAGCCTGCTCGATTCAGGCAGGCAGATTTCTTATTGGTTGAAATTAACAATGCCAAGTCCACGAGTCCAGCCGTGAGTTTGGGGGAGGAGCGCGGGCTCTTTTCCCGAATAGCGGCTGGTAATCGAGCCTAGGCTCCTAGTAGTCACCAAGACACGATGATGGCCACACCCTGGGCAACAGCATCGACCTGCAGGCTAAACTTCATGCAGGTAGCAATATTCCAATACTGAAAAGAAACAACTTCCTATGTTCCGTCTACCCTGATTAGACAAACCAAACCCCAGCATAGTGATGTGGTCTGTCAGGGGTATGGGGCTCTGGTGAAGTTGAAAGGGCTAACCTATTCACTGGATTTAACTGGTTACAGAAATGTGAAATGTTGCTACCACCACCATAGCCTGCGAACACAGATGTATTTACTGCTGTTGCTTGTCTCCACCAAAAATAACGTCTGCGAACCCAAGCCAGGAAACGATTTCTGTGACATACGAATTTTAAGCCAATCACAGTTTAGCTCATGTAGCCCCAGAACTACTGCGTGAGGTATTTGCTGCGAGGAGCACTCGAGTTTCATTCTATCATGGAATCTGATTGGCCAAAGAGAAACAAAAGTCATTACGTCACAGAAATCATTTCCTGGCTCGGGTTCGCAGATATTATTTTCGGCAGAGACAAGCGACAGCTGGAAATACGTCTGCGTTCGCAGGCTACTACCACCACCGCCCCAGCACAGGTAGAGGTTTTGTTCACTCGCCAAATCATTTCATTTCAGCACTTCTCCCCTTGGGGGTGATATTTATGTGAAGGTCGCAGAGGGTAAGCCAGTTTGCATGTGACACAGTACATGATGAGGGCAAAACTTAGTGTGTGATGCATGGGAAGCAAAGGAAAAACATATCTGAATAAATTTTACAAAAAAAGTCCTTGCTCAAAGAATTTAAAAGAATGTGTGACGCGTTAATTTTGTTAAATTTGTGGGGGAACTGTACGGGTCCGCAAATTATCCCAGGACCGCAAATGATCCCGGACCGCAAATGATCCCCAAATTGGACCGCAAATGATCCCGGACC